AAGGCTCATCTCACGTTAATCGCTCAAATTATTGCCCAATGGACTTCAAATAATTAGGCATTTTTAGAATCAGCGGCCCGTTGGACACATCACATAGAAGCCCACACCCATACTTTTCCTTTTTTTTTTTTTTTTTTTTTTTTTTTTCTCTCCCCTAATATTCCAAACTACCACCAAACGGCGGACGACCCCCGCTGCCTCGCCGCCTCGCCGCAAGCGTTCGACACTTACGAATTGCGATCGACTAATCTCCATAACTTTACCTTCCGATTATTCTCCTGTTGTTATTACCTTACCCTATTTCAATTTTTATCAACCCCCAAAAATCCGACTTCTCTTTGCCGCCATAGCCGCCGGCAACTTCACTGTTAGAGTTTCTGGAGAATGAGAAAAACTGGTGAATTATTATTCCACCAGGTTCAAATAATTTACTGATAATACCTGAGTAGTGATTAGGAATGGGGATTATCGAAGATGGTTCGGTTTCGGGTGTTCTCCCGAGTAGCAGCGAAGCTTTTGCAGTTCTCTACCCTGGTTATCCTACTTCAATTGGACGTGCAATCGAAACTCTCGGTGGCGATCAAGGAATTGCCAAGGTATATTTCTTTACTTGTATTCATTTCATCCAATTTGCTTAGAGTATGCATTCGTTGGTTGTGTTACAGAGTGCAATTATGTACAGTCAGTTCGTTTCGTCGACAGAAATTGTAATGATCTAGGGTTACTTTTGCACGTTGCAGAAGGTGGGTTGGTGACTCGAGATAGAGCATAGTAGTTAGAACTTAACAGAGAGATGGAAATTGAATTTGCGCAAGTGAGAAACCCTACCTTTTGTATAGGGATGTCGATTTAGGGTTGGCAAACTGGCCATTCACATTTTACTTTCAGGATATCATATAACTCGACTGTTGTAGCTGTTTCGTATCTTTTACTGAAAGCAAACTATGATCCGCTTTGTGTATCAATATACTTCATGGCTGTTTGGTTTCTGGAAATGAAACGACATGTTATACACATAGAATAGCCTTCTTTACTTTCCAGTACCCTATTTGACGGAGAACTGGAACGTACCCTCAGTATGGATAGGGACAATGGAGGAATTTTTTTGTGGTTTGTCCCTAAACAAATTCGACCTCACTTGTATCCTTGCCTTTTGTCGTTGTGATTCTTCTTTCGCTTTTGTAATTGTGCGTGTGGAGATATTTTAGTTTGGGATGCCAAGAATCTGGGGTAGAGAGGTACATTTAATATAACTTGTACGATAGAGCTGGGTTTATTGGGTTGAATCATTGCATTTTTTCTAGTCCCGTCTCTTAACGGCTTAATGTTATGCCAGCCAAATTGATTGCAATTTTATTTTATTTTGCTTGCTATGTTTTCAGGCTCGTACTGATAAGTCAAACAGGCTGGAGCTACATTTTCGTCCTGAAGATCCATATTCACACCCACTCTTTGGGAAACTCAAGTCCTGCAATAATTTTCTGTTGAAAATCTCCAAAACGAAAGTCAAGGACACACACGATATTAAGGAACTCAACTCCCTTTCTGAACACGCATCAGAAGATTCACTTCGTCTTAGCAATAATAGTTTAATTCCTGAATCAACAGAAAGTACAGCACACATTGCGCAACCTGAATGTGACTTTTCGGATCCTTCAGATAAAGCACAGATAAAAAATGGAGCTCAAGAGCAGCTTTCTGCCGATATTGTTGCAAGAGTCTCTGAGGCATACCATTTCAAAGGTGATGGTGATATATTTTCCCATTCATCATCTTCTTTCACAACAGAAATAAAAGTCATGTTGTTTCTTTATGTACCTTATGCCATCTTTATTTTCTTTTCTGAAGGCATGGTGGATTACCAGCATGTGCTTGCTATTCATGCTGACAGAACTCGAAGAAAGAAAAGAAATTGGGCTGAAGTAGAACCACAATTTGGTCAGCTTGTGCTTGATTTTTTAGCTTATATACAGTTAGAGTAGCTTTTCCGTTTTCTTACCTTTTCTTATATCTGTAGAGAAAGGTGGTCTAGTGGATATTGATCAGGAGGATTTAATGATTTTAGTGCCACCACTTTTTTCACTGAAGGATATTCCAGACACGATAGTGTAAGATACTTCATCTTTATTTATTGCTTATGTTTATCTGTGCAGAAGTCATTTTTCTGCATTCTGAATTATTATCCTTTCTACCTGGGAAAAAGTAAGAATTACCTGTCTTATTAGCTTGACAGATGAATATATTTCAGATACTAATTGTTGGTAGAGAGAGAAAAAAACTGGCTTGACTAATCTGAGTGTTCTTACTACTCTGATGTGGCAATCCTAGAAATTGAATAGATTGTAAACAAGCATCACATGCTTTGCAAAATCCTTTACTATATCTTATGACCTTGCTTTTGTCAGATATTCTTATATCACTAGTGATACACTAGCTAATGTAATGTTTATATTCGTTTAAATAGGAGTTAACCTTTTCAATATCAGTAGTTAGGCAGCTGTTTCTCATATTATGGAAGATACCTTCCTTGCATTTCAATCTTAGTGATTGTGTATCTGCAGTTTAAAATCGTCCGGAGAGATGAGTTTGAAAAAGAAACAAAAGGGAGATGTCCAACCGCGCGAGGAGGTAAGTTCCTCTTATGGCAAGAAAGCAACTTTGAGTATCAGACTATCATGTTTTACTTACTTCAGTCACCATACATAGTGAAGTAATGGATACCCTCTTTGAGTGAAAATCTTTGAAGACTATTGAACTGTATGATTAGACTATCTGAGTACTTTCACCTTTTCTTTTTGTAAAACCACAGATGCAATGAGTCTTTATTCTATGAAAAATTATTTTCGCAAATCTATTTTTCTTATTGCTCATGAGATACCTACCTAGTGCTAAGGGGCCTTTTGATAGTCTTAAATAAACTTGACTTAGATCTTTCTCAGTGGCAATTCTACAAGTTTTCCGAGTCACTAGAAAATAATCTACTCTTTCAGTCCTTCAAACGATCTTACTTTGTTTTACCATAGTTTCTAATATTGTGTGTAATATTCGATTTGGATTTTGAAAAATTCCATTCATTTGATGCAGATGGAGATAGAGCCATGTCTTGCCATTGACTTCAACATCAAAGATATCCTGATTGTTTTATGTCTGTGTGGTTATATATTGTTGATGCACGATTATCTCATGACGAGTTTCCTAAGAAGCATTCTATGGGTTATTTCACAGAAATAAACCTCAAGTTAAATTTATATTTTCACTTGCACTTTGTCCCAGAAGTGATTAAAATAGACTCCTTACCTCTCTTTTGTCATGTCGCTGCAGCCTCTTTCTTCTTTTGGTCCTTGGTTTTGATTGATGTATTTATTTTTCGTCCTACAATTTAACAAGAATATATATAAGAATAAGCTGAGGGAGTTGGCATCGAAATTCTTTTATTCTGCAGTCGATCTTTTGTTTGCACTTGACATTCGTACAGATCCCTAAGAGAGTAAATTGGGAGAAATCCGTAACCAGGAACTCAGATCGATGGCATGGGCTGATGGCTGTGTGTGAATTGTTTGATGAACGTCCAGTTTGGGTAAAAAAGTCACTAGCTGAACAGTTACATGACCGCGGTTTAAATGTTGAAAATAAAATGCTCAAAAGGTGGCTTTTTAATTAGCTGTTTTGTAATATCTTCTGTTAGTGTAAGTTATACAGTCGGAATAAAATTAATCATCGCTTTTCTGTTTCCAATTTTTAGGTTCCTTGTAGTAGTAGCATATTATTTCTCAAACGGGCCATATCTCAGATTCTGGATCAGAAAAGGATACGATCCCCGCAAAGATCCCGAATCCCGTATGTAAGTTTTCGTATCAGAGAAACTGTCTCCTTTCGAATATTAGGCAATGCAATTTCAGTTTTGTGTAAGGTAATAAGGTTAAGTATCGTTGCTGATGTGGAATTAACCCTTGACGCAAACAGTTCTTTTTCTTGGAGATTGGATTTTCCTAACTGACAAGCTTTAAAGCAAGATGCGGGGTGCAACTTTACTAACTTTATCTTATTTGCTTTGTAGATACCAGAGGACTGATTTTCGAGTACCACCATCATTAAGAAGCTACTGTTACAGCGATGCTGTATCTGGGTAAGGGCTTCTATCAATTTTGCCATCAAGGTTATTTGGATTGTTTTGCAGTATAAGAAGCCAATAAAAGTCTATTTCCTCTTTCTTAAAAGGCTAATCTGTCACAAAAAAAGGATGTAGTATGGTGAGTTTGCTGATGAATTTGTTGCCTCTATTTGACAGTTCTATTCTGTTACTGCTCTAAAACATCAATATTTTACTACGCTACTGCCTTTCTTCCATAAATAAATAAAGCTAGATAGGTTCTAGTCATAGAGATAACACATTACGTCCAGAATACGATCCTTTATTTTTGAATTCATTCTGTGCAATCTAACATTTTACTGATAATGACGAAAAACCTCTAAAGCCTATCTTATTTATGTGTGTGTTGATAACAATCTACATCTTCCTTATTCCTCTCTTTCCTCTTAGATCTGATTTATTTCTCTTGTTGTCTTTTCTTGACCAGATCGAAGAGCAGGTGGGAGGATATTTGTGCATTTCGGGTTTTTCCTCGTAAATGCCAAATTTCGCTGCAACTCTTTGAACTTAAGGATGACTATATTCAACAAGAAATCAGAAAACCTGCAAGTGAAGGAAACTGCAGTGTAATATAAACATATATGTATTATATTAATGTTCTAACATAATTGCATATTTTATTTGAGAAAAAAACTATGGCATTCTCTACATTGTACTAAGAAAGAGATAAACTTATCCTGATGAAGCTACTCTCTTCATCTCTCTGTCTCATTTCATTTGAAGTTGCCGAAGTACCTTATTCATCAATTTTATATCTATCTAATATCTGCGTTTGATTAGGTTTTGAAAATATTCTTTTTCTGGCAGCTGCAAACAGGTTGGTTTTCATCACAAGTGATTGATTGCTTGAGGCTGCGTGTTGCTCAGAGATTTCTGTCAGCATATCCTGAAACTGGTGCGGAGTTATTTCTAAAGTCCGCTTCTAATCGCTTTGAGAAGTCAAAGAGAGCGCATCTTAATGTGAAGAATTTGAAAGTTGATGCGGAGAACAAACCAGCCGACAAAGGTTTCTATCAATAATTAAATCAAAAGTTTGGATTCCGTATAATATTTGACATGTTCATATTATCCATGCGAAGTATCTAATATGTAAAGCAGCTTTCCATCAAGCTGATTCTGGAACTTTTTTTCTTATTAATTCGTCATATAACTTACATCATTTTTCTTCGACACATTTTTCATCCTACTGTATTTGCATGTTGCAGAAGTTTTAGAAAGTGAAGATAAAGAAGCCAATGATGAAGAAAAAGAAACCAACGATGAAGATAAAGAAGCCAATGATGAAATTGAATACGAGGAGGAAGATGAAGAAGATGAAATGGATGATGACAATCTTGACATGGATGCGGATGAAGCTTTTGATCTGGTGAATATTTATTTCGTTTTTTCTATGTATTGTGTCAAATAAATTGAATTTTAAATTGCCCAATCAATTGGTAATTATTCCCTCTCATCTGATTTTTTTGTTCCCAGGTTGATCAGGACTGGGATTTCCCTCCACCAAATTCATGTATCCTTGTGCAACACGTCTTGTTTATTTACATTCCGTATGCGAAATATGATATTTATAAAAAAAAAATTATAATTGAATATATGGACGTCGGATTCGTCGTCTCTATTCTAAGTAGTAGGTAATTACTTGGAATTTTCTGAATGTATGTTTATATATAAATAAACGAATGTTATTGTGATTCAGATACAATATCGAAACAAACCGAATTAGCTTTATATCCTATACTTGACATAGATACAAACCACGAGAGCATCTCGAAGGGCTACCTTCAGGAGCTTTTCGGCAGTTTCCCCTTTGGCGGCGGTGGTGGTGGTGAAGTGCAAGATGTCGACCCTGACGATGGAGAATTTCAAATTTACGAACCAAATAGCGACGACAACTACTCTGACGATGAGGATTATTAGAATATTATCAACAGGTAATTGCTTCTTAACCATCTGTTTTACTTTATCCTTTTTGCACTAGGTTACTTAAACTAGATAGGAATTGCATGAAATAAATTATTTTATCCAAATTATTTATTAGTCATTTATTAAAGGAGAAATCATTTATTATATGGTATTTACTTATCTGACCCTGGACCAAAATTAGTTAATGGGCTGGACCACTGTTGGGTTTATCCTCTTGGGCTTCTCTTTTTTTGATGATATATTATAATTTTAAAACTATTGATATATAAATTTAAAGAAAATACTAATTTAATATACTATAGAGATATATTTTTTCTTCAAAACAAATGTCGTCAATTTAATATCATGAATGTAGAAAAAACAATGATTTTTGTTCCACCCCTAAAGCAAGAAAGAAGCCAAAATTTTCAGGAAAAAGGAAAAAGAACAAAATTATTGGTACATTTTAAAATAATATTTCATCAAAAGAAATCAAGTGGGGAAAAAGTGGAAAGGCACCATTCTAGTGGAGGATGAAAATCCAAAGGTATATATATATATATATATATATATATATATATATATATATATATATATATATATATATATAATATATATTACAGCCACCCTTGAGGAAATATTAAATTATAAATAAATAAAAAAACTCTTGTTTTTGTAATTACAAGTGCCTCCTCAGCTATATATTTTCTTACGAAAAAACTTTTTATTCAGTAGGTAAATTTGAAACTATAAGGATAGATGTGCAAGACAATACACACCTGATGGGTGGTTGTAATTATTCAAATATTGGGGTTTTTTTTTTTCGTAATTTGACTTTACGTTAGGGGTTTCTTACAAAAAAAACTCTTTATTCAGTAGGTAAATTTGAAACTATAAGGATAGATGTGCAAGACAATACACACCTGATGGGTGGTTGTAATTATTCAAATATTGGGGGTTTTTTTCATAATTTGACTTTACGTTAGGGGTTTCTTACGAAAAAACTCTTTATTCAGTAGGTAAATTTGAAACTGTAAGGATAGACGTGCAAGACAATACACAAGGTTGTAATTACTCAAACATGAGGGGTTTTTTTGTAATTTGACTTAACTTTAGGGGAGTGGCCGTAATTTGTCCTAAATATTAAGCCTTCGTATTGGCTTTATTCCTTTTAAATTTTGCCCTCCCAAATTAGCTTTATAACTTTTATGGCTTTATATTTTTTATTTTTTATTTTTATCACTGCCACTTGAAAGAGCCAACAGCCATGGTGGAAGAATCAATCCCACACCCATGGAATGGAAGAATAAACGCAGTCCAACAAAAGATATTTGATATTTGCAAATTCCCATGCACTTTCTTTAATTTCTTTTATTTTGTTGGGCAATATTCTAATTGTACAAAAAAACATGACTATTTTTTAATATAGTAATAACCAAAATATTGAAACTAATTTTATTATTAAGACAAATGAAAACTTGACCTTACTTTTGTTGGCAATTTGGAAACTAGTCAAATCTATCACCCTCTCCCAAATATAAAAGTCAAATCTAACATAAATGAAGTGAGAAAATACATAACAAAATTTTTAAATACAATTAAATTTTATGGAAAAATATACTTCATTTGTTGAACAATAACCGTCACTTTTCTAAAATATTTTTGTTCTATTTTATTTGTCGCTTTAAATTTTCGATATTGCATCTTTTGACCTTATTAATTCAACTATAAATATTAATTCTCTCTTATAAATCATTAAATTATAAAGGTTATTTTAGTTTTTTTTTTGTATAATAAAATTAATATTTGAATATTTAATTAATGGAGATATAAATTGAAAAATATACATTAAATGCATAATTTGTAACCATAAAAATAACTAGATAGCTAAAAGTGTGTAAGTTTGAAAGAGGGGCATTAACGTCAAGTCTAATCTCCATAGCATATCAAAAGGAACAAAAAAAACTAAAGAGACTGCGCGCCAACCTGGCAAATTAGCTTCTCACATCAAATCTCACAACTTCAATGTAATTAAGTCTATCCCTTCTTTTACCCTTCTTGTGTTACCTCTTCTTCTCTCATGTTTTGGCTACAACAAGCAATGTTTTCCTTTTTCATTTACTCCATTTAATTAAATAAATAAATAAATAAAATTCATTGGGAAGAGAGAGAGAGATTTATAGATATTGATTGTATAGTTTATTAATAAGTGAAAACGAACAACAAAAGGGTTATTTATACGCGGAGTCGCTGAAAGTTACACTGAATGAATTTTTACCGTTTGTGTGAAAATGAATATTCAAAAAATACATGATATAGTTCATCGAGTGTAACATAGTGTAGACGAGACCGCGAACAAATATGAAAATTTAGTATATTATAAATAAAAAACATGCAAATGTGTGATTTTATTTGGGAAATTTTTAGCATAGTGATTTTCAAGTATGGGCAGTTGTCATTCCAATTAATTAATTTTGGTGTCACTCTCAATTTCTGAGCTTCTAATCCCTCACTATCTCTGACTTCGCCCTAGCATCCCACCTGATCCTCTCTCTCTCTCTCTCTCTCTCTCTCACACACACACACACACACAACATACACACACTCACTCGTACACACAGTGGGGAAAAGAGTTGCAACGGATGGAAAAAAGAAAAAGAAAAAAGGAAGATAAAACCCACAACAAAGTAGATAAAGAAGGGGGTGGGGTGTGGGGGGTGAGGGGGGTGGGGTGGATTAAAAGTTGTAGAAAGCAAACACTTGAAACCATTAAAAAGAAAAAAAATCAAGAAAACACACAATATATACATACACAGATGTAATGTAACACAGTGCTTAAGTAGATTTAAGGAAAGTTAAAGTGATAAAATTTGAGAATGCAAAAAAGACAGCAAGACACAAGCTTTTGCAAAAGAAGAGAGAGAGAGAGAGAGAGAGAGAGAGAGGAGAGAGAAACCTGCACATATGTTGCAGAGGCTCCTTTTTTAGTACACGCATTCATTCACAGAGAGAATACACACACAGACACACACACTTTTTTTCTCTCTCTTCACAGTATTTTTGTATTCTCTTCCCCCACAGTCTAAAGACAAAAGGGCTGGTAGAGAAAGATCAATAAAGAGGATTCTCAAAATACTCAATACAAAATAAAACGGGGTTCGAATTCTGTACAGAGAAAAAAAAAAAAGATGGCAACTTTGCAACATGTTTAGAGAGAGGAGAGAGAAAGGGTGAAACTTGAAAGTAACACTGTCTGAATATACACATATGATCATGTCTCTCATGCTCTGTAACAACTGCTTCTTCTCATTCTTTCTTCTTACATTATTTTTCTTCAATCCAACCCTTTCATTCGAGGCCCGAAACCCTGAAGGTAATGTTTCATTGTGATAAATAATTTTTTTTTTTTTTTTTGTATTTTTGGTTTTGTTATAATTTCTTGATTTTTTTTTTTTCAATAATAATAAAAAATAGTTGAAGCACTTAGTGCAATAAGGGAAGGTTTGGATGATCCACATGGTGCTCTAAGCAACTGGGATGAAGACTCCGTTGACCCTTGTAGCTGGTCAATGATCACTTGCAACTCAGATAATCTTGTCACTTCTCTGTAAGTCTAATTTTCTTCATTTTTCGCAACCCCAAATAAAAAATTAAAAAAAATTGTATTTTCTTGATTTATGTAAAAAAAAAAAAAAAAAAAAAAAAAAAAAATTGTGCACAGAGGAGCTCCAAGTCAGGGTTTATCAGGTTCATTGTCTTGGATGATTGCAAACCTTACAAACCTCAAACAAGTGTAAGAACACTTTCTTTCTTTTTTTTTCTTTTTCTAATTTTGAATTTTAATTTTTGTTATTTTTTTTTTAATTTTTGTAATTATGGAATTGCAGATTGCTGCAGAACAATAATATATCTGGGCACATTCCAAAAGAAATAGGATATCTTCCAAATCTGCAGACATTGGATTTATCCAATAATAAGTTATCTGCACACATCCCTGATTCTTTAGGGTTGTTGAATCATCTCCAATATCTGTGAGTACTACCCTTTCAAATATTTTTATTGCCTTGACACCCCCTGAATTATGTGCCATGTCGCATACACACCCCTCAAAATTACGAAACGTACCAAATACCCCGGACCCCTATATTTTTTTGGTCAAACTCATAAAAAATGTAAAAGAGACGGGTGTATTTGGTACGTTTCGTAATTTTGAGGGGTGTGTTTGCGACACACCACATAATTCAGGGGGTGCAAAGTGAACTTAGTACTGAAAAACTATAGTGTCTGTTATTGTGTGTTGATTTTGTCTTGTAATGGTGTACTAGGAGGTTAAACAACAATAGCCTGAGTGGGGCTCTTCCTTTGTCCTTAGCTATTCTCCCTCACCTTACTTTCTTGTGAGTTTTTTTTTTTTTTTTATATATATATATATATATATATATATATATGTATATATATATATATATATATAT